GGGAAAAAAAAAAAAAATGATGGTCTTTTTCTTCTAAAACTGTTCTCAATCTATGTAGAGTAGCCAGGATTTCTTAGTCTCTAAGCTTCCTTTGTAACCCTGTTTTCCTTTCATCCCATATTCAATTGGTCACCAAGATACTTAATCTTCCTTTGTAAAATCTCTTGTATTGATCCCTTCCTTTCCAGTCACATTTCATTACCTTTATCCTGCCCTTTAGCACTTCATGCTTGGTTTGTCACTTACCTTCCCCTTGCCTTTTATCTCCTTCACTGACATATCTCCATCAGAGCTGCCAGGATCATCTTTCTACCCCATTTTATCATGACTCTTGTTCTGACTACTGTTTTCCTCAGGTTGCTTGTAGAATATATGTTGTTGTGACAGTATAGCTATTGATCATAAATACTTTTCTGTGACAGTGTATGTGAGTTGTTGAAATTTTTTCCCAAGTGTTTTAGGATTTTTTTCCATCTCATAGTGAAAGAGCAATCATAGTAAGTGGATTCCAACATTAACAATTGGTTAAGAAAAGAATGAGATTGATTTAGGTATGTTGTTGTTGTTATGTGCCGTCGAGTCGGCTCCGACTCATAGCGACCCCTCCTTGGGTTTCCGAGGCAGTATCACTGCGGAAGTAGGATTGCCCAACCTTCCTTCCGAGGAGTGGCTGGTGGGTTTGAACCGCCAGCCTTCTGGTTAGCAGTCAAGTGCTTTAGCCACTATGCTACATGGAAAGATCTTGAAGCTGTATTTGTAAGTCAAAACAGTAAGTCAGAAAAGTATATATAATACACAAATGATTGTACATGCATTAAAAGAAAAAAAGGATTTGAAAATATATATACGAAACTAGCAGTGTTTACCTTTAAGGGAAAATAAAAAGAGGAGGTGGAGGGCATAAAAAACTAACTTTTAGTTTTTGCTCTCCATATTTTAGTATTGCTTACTATGCTCTCTCTTTTTTGAACTACATGTATATATATATTCATGAGTTATTTTTGTGTGTATGTGTGTGTGATTTGGGTGAAAGTTTACAGAGCAAATTCATTTTCCATACAGCAGGTCACATACACTTTGTCTC